TTGTGACTCAGTTCCCCCCCCACCCCGTCCAGTTCCTGCAGCTGCTGTGCCTGGCACTGGCCGGCACCCTGGAGTGCAGGAGACTCACCAGTGGCTCCCAGGAAATCCTGACCTTCCCCAGCAGGTGGTGCCAGTGTGCACGTGTGGCTGCAGTGCGTGGCTTGTGCATGTTTGCACACGCGCGTGTGTCGTTCTGCATGCGTCTTGGGGCCTGTATTCCTGCCCACTCCATGTCCTCACGTGTGTCGGTGCGTGCCTGTTCCCACACATGTTCCTGCAGCTGGGGGTTGTGAATGTGTGTTGGTGCATGTGTGTGAGGGGCTTGTGCACGTGTTTCCACGTGTGTCGGTGTGTGGGCCATGCATGTTCCTACCTGTGTGTCCCTGCACACCTGTGTTACCTCACCCGCATGTGGTTCACAGGTGCTAACACGTGTCTGAGCGTGTCCCGGGCCGTCCCCTCCCCGTGCTGCCCCCGCCCCCTGCCATGTCTCTGCCCCACACTAACCCCGTTAACCCTTTCCCTCCTGCCGCACCAGCCCCATGTATCAGGAGTACTGGCAAGGTAACTTACCTTGGGGGTGGGGGCAGGGAGGAGGGAACCTGGGGGGGGGAGCTCAGATCCCCCCATCAGCCCCGTCTCCTCCCCCCAGATCCACGCCATGTCCATGGTGTGCTCCCTGCTCCGAGAGGAATCGTTCGGCGCCCCCCAGGGGCCAGAGCAGGAGACACAGCAGCTCCCGGGCAGACCCCAGCCCAGGGGCTTGGCCCATCGCTGGGGGGGTCGGCAGCGCATCGCCTGAGAGCCCTGCGGGGGGCCCCCTAGACAGGAGACGGGGAGACCCCCCCCAGCATCCCCTGATAATAAAGTATCTGTGGAAAGAATGAGGGAGTTAGGAGCAGTGATTATTCCAGTGGAGGGCGCTCTCCCATGGGGCAGGGCTGGCCCCAAAGCCCCAGGGTGGCACTAGGGGGCGCTGTGCTGCAGGGAGTGGGGCTGGGGGAGACAGACGAATTTCAGGGAATCAACACACCTGTGGGATTGACCCCTGAATGACTCCGCCCCCAATCATCTACCCCATCACCCTCTTCACCCCCAACCTCTTCCCATTCCCCATCAGACACTATCAGACCCCCCAGCCCCATCACAGCATTGATTTCAGGGGTGTGTGGCTACATTCTTGGGGGGGGCCTGACCCCACTCACACAGAGCTGCTGGCGTGGAGGGGGCAGGCTATGCTTGGGATGGTTGGTAGGACCTCTTATCTCCCCCCACAGTTCTATGGGGGTGGTTGGTAATAGCAGTGGGAACCCTCAATTAACTCTCCCAGCTGTGTGGGGGATGATTGGTGGGGGAAATGGGATCCCTCCATTAACTCTCCCTCCCCCTGACACCAGCTTGTCAGGGGCTGGTTGGTGTCAGGAGTGGGATCCCTTCAGTAACTCTCTTCCCCCCCGCACCCCCAGCTTGTCAGGGGGTGGTTGATGGGAGTGGTGGGCTGGTTGGTGTGAGAAGTGGGATCCCTCCAGTAACTAACTCTCTCTCTCTCCCCCCAGCTCTGTCTCATGATGTTATCGATGTTTCTGTTTAGAAACATGGGCCAGAACTACGACAAGCTGACCCGATACTCCTAGGAAGCCCCTCCCGCCCCAGGGGGTGGAGGGGGAGCAGATGGGCATGAGCCACCGCCCCCCAACTGGGACCATCCAGCATGGGCTGAAGCAGCTTTCTTTCTCTGTCTGTCTGTTCCTGAGTGTTCTTGGCAGGGGGCAGGGCCCCTGGTCCATTTCCCCCCAACCCCAGTGTGTCGTCCCCCGCCCTGTCCCTGGCCTGAGCTGTGCTCACCCTTTGGGGCAGTGGCGTAGGGATGGGGCAGCTATTTCGTTCTGTCTCTGGGTATCTATTAGTGGGGTTTGCTGCAGTAGGGAGGGGAAGGGTGGGGTGGGGTGGGGGTGGGGGAGAGAGGTCCTGGTACCTTGGGGCAGGGGGGGCAATCGGGAAGGGGCAGGAGGTTGGGACGTGTGAATATGTGTGTGTGCCATTGAATGTGTTCTCCACGGGGGACCCCCGGTTCCCCGCTCCCCAGGAATTCACAATTTTGTAAAATCCACTTTGTAAATAAAATAAAAATGTGGGGTCCCAGCCCTGAAAATTGGTCAGTTATGTTATTTGCAAAGGATGCTGGGAGCAAATTAACCAGGAGGGCATGTCCCCTCCCCTCTCCCTGCCCCAGTGCCCCCTCCCACTCCCCCAATGCTGGGGACCCTATTGTAAATGCTGCCCCCAGTGGGGCTATTTGGTATTGCTAAATGCTCATTGCAAATGTGATAGTGCCCCTCACCCTACCTGGGCAGGCGGCCGGGCGTGTACCTGGCGCGGTTCACACCCGTACCCGAGCCCTGCCCCTTTTGCGGCGTGAGGGAGAACCTGGCGCAGCCCCTATTCCGGCTCCTCCAGAACCTCTTGGTGAGGTTCTGTCTGCACTTTTCCCCTGTTCCTCTTCGCACACCCCATCCGTGACCCCACGAAGTCACGAGACCTCCCCGACAACCTCCTCCTGGCCCCGGCCAAACACTCCATGGACACCACCAGGAGGAGGATGCTGGACGGGGGGGGAGCTCTGCGACCGGGGGGCCTATTTCCGGTCCTCCCTCGTCTCCCGCATCCGGGCAGAGTTCCACTGGGCAGCCTCCGCTGGCTCCGACACCTCCCAGGAGCAGTGGGCGCCGTCTGGGGTTCTCTGCTCGGTGTCCCCATCCGGTACCCTCATTTTGAACCTATGACCTTCACCTTGTCCCCTGTACTCATTTGGTCCCTGGGTCCAGTGGTCCCTCCCGCTAGGCTGGGGGAGGGGCCTTTAGAAGTGGGCGGGCGCACCGCCCATCTCCTGGGTTTTCCAATAAGACAGGTTGGGGGGCAGTGGGTCCCCAAATAACCAGCCCCCGCACCCCACCCCAGAGGTGCTGTGTCCCAGTGCTGGACAAGGGGTCCCTGTAGGACCAGCCCCCGCACCCTACCCCAGAGGGGCCGCGTCCCAGCGAGGGGTCCCCTTATAACCAGCCCCGTACCCCACCCCAGAGGGGCTGCGTCCCAGCAAGGGGTCCCCTTATAACCAGCCCCCGTACCCCACCCCAGAGGGGCCGCGTCCCAGCGCCGGGCGAGGGGTCCCCGTCTAAGCAGACACGTGCCGGCCTGAGCAGCGCTGGCTCCCGGCGGTGTCTTTGCGACGTCGCTCTGCGGGCGGATTTCGCCTGGCCAGGGCTAGAGTCTCATCGGTTGCTAGCGGCAAATGTCAGTTTCAGGGGGTTGTAACCCTGGGGGGCCTGACCCAAAAGAGGATTGTGGTGGGGGGGTCACAAACCTGTTGGGAGTCACGGGGTTGCCACCCTCACTTCGGTGCTGCTTTCGGAGCTGGGCCGTGGCGCTTCCTGCAGCCAGGGGAGGCTCCCGGGGCGGGGAGGTGAGTCTGATCGCCCCAGCCAGTGGTGGATTAATGCCCGGGGGCCTCAGCCAATTTTGGGGCTCCCTGAAGAAACGGGCGCCTTGTCCCGGCAGGAGCCAAGGGGGTGGAAACGCCGAGCCCAGCTCTAGGGCTGCTCCAGCCCAGAAGTGGGGGTGTTTCACCCTCCTTTCTGCGCTGCCTCTGGGGGTGGGACTGATCTCCCCACTGAGGGCGGCCGTGCAAGGAAAGACGAGTCCTGCCCCGCCCGGCCCACCAGCCGCACTCCTGGCAACGCGGGGAGATCGGATTTCCCAGTGAAGGCCTTATTTCACGGTCCGTGACACGTTTTTCACAGTTGTGAAATTGATAGGGCCCAATGCTTCATCATACCTCTGGATCGTTCTCGGTCAAAGTTATAAAATATAAACCGTATTCGCCCTCACACACCACCCCGTGAGGCAGGGCAGGGCCGTCCCCACCGCTCTGCAGATGGGGAAACTGAGGTCCTGAGGAAGTCTGCAACGGAGCTGGGTGTTGCTCTACGCACAGCTTCACCCCGCTGCCCGAGCCGCCGCCCTGCCCAGCCGCTGACGGGGAGGCCGTGGGCATCTCCCGGCGAGTGCCCAGGTGTGGTGGGGCACCCTGTGACAGGGCCCCTCCATGCTGGCCAGTGGCCGGTTCTGGAATCAGAACCCCGTTCGAATCAGCGCCCCGGGTGAAACGGACCAGTGCGGGTCCCAGGGAGGTGGCTGGTCGGTGCTGGGGGAGGGACCCTGGGGCGGTGGGGGGAAGGTCCGGATGGGGGAAGGCGGGTGGGTTGGGGGGTTCTGGGAGGACTGAAGGACTGGGGTAGTTTTGGGGGGAGGGAAGGGAGTTCAAGAGGTTGCTGGGGTCACAGTGCTATGGGGCAGGATTTCATGGGGGGGCAGAGATTGGGGAAGTGTTGGTCAGAAGGGGGATAAGCTGTGGTAATTATGGGGGGAGGGCTGGTCAAAGATGGGGGTAACTACCCTGTTTCCCCGAAAATAAGACATCCTCCGAAAATAAGGCCTACTTACAGTTTTGCCTCTCGTTGTAATA